TTTAGCCATGCATGATTATCGACATGCTGTTTCATAGTGGATAGTAGGGGTGTAAAAATACTTCTAATAATTCTTAGCATTGATGACTGAATTCAGTATAGTGTTATGACTATTATAATAAATGGTGTGGAGCAGAATGCACAGATGAAGAGCACACAAGATTTCTGCTTCATCATTCATGAATACATCCATTCGAGCAAAGCCTAATTGTTGTTTTCATCTTGGGATTTTATTATGTGGATATTCTAAGAATAAATGTGCTTGAAACATGATTTTAATTAAAGGAATAATTTTCGGCCCGCTGAATACCTTGGGCCAAAGTGGGGCTAGAGGTGTGGTCATGAACAAAGGTGGAGTTTATCCGAGTTAGAGACATGTTTTCATATCAATCATCAGCTAGCATCAACATTTAAGACATCTAAAACAAGTTTAATAGCAAAACTCACTTTCAGACACCATCAAGTGTTTGAATTAACTTACGATTGCGAATTCTGATCAACGTATGAGGCAGAAATGTATTATATGTTAAAGGCTGTATGCTAACAATTGCGATAATAGAAATATCATAGACCGCTTGAAGAACTTGGATAAATCATATATGATTATAATTATGTATTTGGTTTAATATTTGTTTCGTCTCCTCCAAGTGTCTTAGTTTATACCAGACTTCTGCATCTGCATATGCCATAAATTGCATATACTCAGTGTAAAGCATAAAACTCTGTCTTTTTAAATGAAACCGTAACAGTACAGTGAGATGGGAGACAGCGCTCAAACCTCCTCAGATTACATGCATCGTGGAGAATTAAAGGGTTAGTTCACCCCAAACGAAAATTCTGACATTAATTACTCACCCTCATGTCGTTCCAAACCTGTAAGACCTTCGTTCATCTTCAGAACACAAATTCAGATATTTTTGATGAAATGTGAGAGCTCTCTGACCCTCCATAGACAGCAACACAACTGAAATGTTCCCAGGTCCAGAAACGTAGCAAGACATAGGTAAAACAGTCCATGTGACTTCAGTGGCTCAACTTCAGTTTTGCGAAGCTACGAGAATACTTTTTGAGCGCAAATAAAACAAAAATAACTATTTATTTAACAATTCTTCTCCCCCGAGTTACATCTTCCACAGAATGTAATTAATGACAGAATTCTCATTTTGGGGTGAACTAATCCTTTAATATAAATGCTCATTTGACCGAAACATACGAGGGTTTATCAGTATTTTTCTGTTGAGTAATATGTCCGCATTTGGACTTAAAAGCCCTAATGGAGTTGTTTTGTGCATTCCTGTCGTCGCAAATAAACAGAGCAGCTGAGTATGTGTGCTCTCTTTTTTGTGTGGAATAATGATAAATATCGGTTTGATTTAAGCATACTGACACAAATGAATACATTTCTATTTTTATCGTAAATCATTGGTATATAAAAGTATTGATTCCTAAGTCTTTTCCTTCAGTTTCTGTGCATCGTTCAGTGCTGTGAAGGCCGGCGGGGTTCGCTGAGCTGTTTGCATGGGCTTCTGTGTGAATCTCCGTGAGAAAGCTGCTTCACTGTAGAGCCGTCCATCTGTTCACCGGCCGTCTGAGCGAGAACGGATAAACTCCCTTCGTTGGTCCTACAGGTTGAGGGCCCAGGGCTGTGAGTGGACACACATCTGCTGCTCTTCTCCCTGTCTGTTGTAGTTATGAGACCGAGTTTGAAGGCAGTATTTGGTGCAAACAGCTGGCATATGTTAGCCTGTTTAATTAAAGGTGAACATCTGATTTCAACAGCTTGTACGAGGTCTGCTTTGACTGTGTGTCATGCATTTACTGTGATTACTAATTATTAATTATTAATTAAGATTACTGTGTAATCATTTTGACTGCGTTCATTACTACGGCTGGTTATGTCTGAATACTGATCTCCGATTCACAAGGTTGCATTTGGGTTTGATTGGATTTACTTGAATGGAACAATGACAGTTTTGATAGGAGAAGAAAGAAAGATATTCTCTGTCAATAGAAATGGTGATGAACTTTCCTTTCTAGTTCATTTTTATGCATGCTTGCTTTGTGGCTCTAGAGCTGCAGAAATGACCATAAGACGGTTTCTACCATCTCACTGCAAGGAACCCCGTTCTTACTTTAGTAAGCTGGCTCAGCAGAAACTTCACACAAGACACCTGCAGGTCCAGGACTGATCTTAACCTTTTTTTTTTTTTTAAAGACATGCATTTATAGATCAGACACAATATCAGACCATTTAAACTGGCATTTATCAGTGCTTCGTTTTTTCCACCAAAGTTTGAAACTAATGAGATGTCATTGTGGATGGAGCTTCCCAGACCAATGCATTAAAAATGGAGACCAAGCGTAGGGCTGGACAATAATTCAATATCAATATGTATCGCGATATAATTTTTTTCAATAACGGTGATATGATTTTTAAACACATTTCCGATATTTCGATATACATTACCAGTTTCCCATACATTGATTTATTTGTGGCGTTTGACTTCGTTGAATAAACATGAGCACTGCACGTTTCAAAATCATAACACGGCGCGGGTGTTTTATATGAATGTATCTCTGAAGGGAATTGACTGTCTTCAGAAAAGTTTCGATGGCATTTTCATTTGATCTGATAAAGTAGCATTCATGAGCGGAGCTGCTTTGATTACAGCCATTACTGGAGAAACCGCTAGTTTTATCACTCTAAAAGCGCCTCCTGCTGGCAGAGAATGAGTTTTCATTTGAAATAAGCCCGTCTCCAGCAACATTTCCAGTTTTTGTTGTTGTTCAATTTTTTTGTTTTCTGCAGCGACTCGGAGCACTTTTCATACCCTTTTTTCTGGCTGAAGCACATTTGTTTCAATCTATAAGAAAAATCAGTCTATACTACCAGTCAAAAATTTTTGAAAAGTAAGATTTTGAATGTTATTATTTTTTTTGAAGAATTCTCTTCTGCTCACCAAGCCTGCATTTATTTGATCCATTTTTGTTGTTGTTCAATTTTTTTGTTTTCTGCAGCGACTCGGAGCACTTTTCATACCATTTTTTCTGGCTGAAGCACATATGTTTCAGTCTATAAGAATAATCAGTCTACTCTACCAGTCAAGAGTTTTTGAACAGTAAGATTTTTAATGTTTTTTTTTATTTTTTTTAAGAATTCTCTTCTGCTCAACAAGGCTGCTTTTATTTGATCCAAAGTACAGCAAAAACAGTAAAATGTTGAAATATTTTTACTATTTAAAATTGCTTTCTATTTGAATAGATTTTAAAATGTATTTTAAAAAATTTATTCCTGTGATCATACATAGGTAAATTTTCAGCATTATTACTCCAGTCTTCAGTGTCACATGATCTTCAGAAATCATTCTAATATGCTGAT